CATCATCAAGCTTATGCCCGTTGTTCATTGTTAATGGCTGTTACACTGACAAGAAGCATTTGATCAGACACATACCCCCATATTGAGGGGGTTGCGTTATGGGGCAGAATTACACAACCCATGAAGATAATAAGTAATGACGTCTTATAAAGGTCAACAAACAAAGCACTAGTGGGACAAACACAGGCCGTGTGATGAGATTCATTAGGACAGCATTGAGAGCATCGAGAGGGAGAAAGAGGGAGTTAAAGAGGGGAGTGAATTCCTCCACTGTTTCACTGCGGCCGTCACAACAGCAGCTGAAACAGGTGTGTGTCTTTACTTGGGGCACTGAGGGCAAGACAAGTGCTATTCTCACATGGTTCAGACCGGTCACACTTGACCGCACTCTGACCTTACACCCACTTGAGTAGCCCAAGACTTCATTAAGAAGGCCCTAAGTGGCGCAGGGGTCTCACAACTATTATCTCTGCAATTTAATACAGACTCTCCCTGTCCATAAATGATCTTGGCTCAAGGATATTTATGAGCAGTCTGCTTATCAGTGTCAAAACTTTCAGCAGGCCTGCTTTGAATTCGGGACCCCTGATGAGCTGTATCACGGGGGCTCTCCACCCTGATGCATCTACTTTGATTCGTGGTCACCTCACCTGTCTGAGGAGCCTCTTCTTTAACTTGCAAAGTCATCCCGAAACTCTGCTTTACTGAATATGGTACGTCCAGGCACGGAAGGAAGTTGCAAGGGGAAAGTGCAATTTCAAGATGGAAGTATAGAGAAGTACTGTCGTTCAAGGAAACAACACAGACCTAACCCTTTATTAGGAGAATGAAGAATTTGCCAGGGGATCACTAGTGAAAGCTTGAGATTTGAGACTGTCACATTTAAGTCACAAAAATCTTGACTTATCTCAGACTTAACTCACGAAAGACTTGCAAAAGCGAAGACATTTTTAACACGGTTAAAGCAGCAGACCTGGCATTATGCAAGATGGGTATATGTAATTATGCACAGGCTGATATTAGGTCTATGCATTCTTTGTAAAACTACACTATTAACACAGTTTTCAAGGAAGAATGTTGAAAGGCTGTATAATTTTCATGGTCGGCATTCAGAGACCTGATTAAGTTGCTCTTCACTGAATGTTTTTTGTCATGATATTGATGTTTAAACCTACTGCAGGGAGTTATAACTAGTTATGGAACTGTCCCAATTTCATACTGATGCCTGCATGACCTACATAAGAACACAAGATCGTCAGCTAGACGACTTCCTGTTTCTATAAAGCTATTCTTAATGCCTGCCACCAGGTCGGATTCGGTCGGATTCCCCTTGAAATCAATGAAACGAGGCAGTGGAAACATATTTGTCGGCCATTTCTGTGTGATAGAATAATGTTTACTTCTGGTGTATTGTGGGTACCCGATAATCAGTCTATTTTTATTAATTCTGTGATCAGGTTTAAATCAGATGTCATTTTAAACCATTAAGCCCGACAAAATGAAGGGTTTAAAAAAAGCTTTTCTCCTTTCTCAACCCAAGAATGGCTGAAGAAAATCTTCTTAATTGGACTTGGCCCAAAAGACTTAAAAAGAGCTCTGTTACGGGTCAATTCTTCAGATTTTCCAACGAGACAATCATAGGATTTCTTGTGGCTACATTGTAAAATTTCTCCTGAACCAACTAGAATCCGTTTCTGATTAAGATTGAGGTCATAAATAGGCCATGCTGTTTCAAAAAGCTTCCTGAATGTTACACACTGGACCTTTAAACCACTCCTTATTGTTGTTGATTGGTCTGGCATTCAGCTGCCAGGCTCAGTCGACTCAATTTGATTCTTTCCAGGACCAAAACTTTACAACAAAACTGGAGCTTGAAAGACTTGGCCTGGTTCTGCCAGGCTCACCTGTCTTCGCTTGGGTAAGTATCAGTTCTACCTCTCCCCCCAGCAATATCCCTATAGAACCTGGACATTGTGACACACTATTAGTCATTCTTTCCCCTTCCCAAACACATCTACACACACATCTAATGACAACATAACACAAAGCTATGGTTTCCAGCTCAGGAAACAGAGGGTTCCTGTTTTTGAGTCCAAGCTCTATTGTTATCTTAAACAGCATTTTGACAGTACATGCTCTCTCTCGCTCTCCTTTGGTCTGGTTTCTCTACCTCTCCAGCTCTTGCTTCACACACTGGAGATATTACACAATTCAACATGTAGCCAAATCTTGATCCCTATATAGCTCTTTAGCAGCACTCATTCTTATCTGGACCTTTCATTCTACTAATATTGACAAATCCAGAGAGATAGAGTCAACACAACTCTCCATTACCACTTTTCCTGTTTTATCTATGCCTCTTATCTTTGCTCTCTGGATGGAGTCACACAGTCACTCCTATTTCGGCACTTGAGGATCAAGTATCTCCTCTGCCATCGCTCTGTCTCTGTCAATCCCTCTCACACACCGTCTTCATGCTTTTTTTCCCTCCCTCATTCCTTCTGCCTACACTGCTATACTCACTCTTCGTTGTGGGAACCAAGGTGCTGCACACAGTCTATTGCACAGTTGAAGGTGTTAGGGGGATTGAAGAAAAGTCTGGATAAGCAACAGCTGGATTTAATGCACCATTAAGGTCATTGGTTGTTCAAGCTGCACCTGCAAATCCCCTGATTTCACCCCCCTCCTGTCTAAACCTCTCTCCCTTGTCTGCTCCCTCCCCTCCCTCCTCTCCTCTTTTCTCTGTTGCCCTCTCCTCTTTCGTCCACATACTCAGTCACCCTTTCTTTTCATTCCTAGCCCTCTCGGCTTTCTTTCTGTTGCCCTGTCAGCTATGAAATCCCTCCCTCTCTTTACTGTTCTTTTTTTTAATCAAAGGTAACCACTGCCACTGCTTCACCCCTTCTCTCACTCTGGTTCCCAACATCCCTTTCTCCTGTTTTATCTCACTCTGCATGTCCCCCTCTCTCTCATATGCTTTCTCTTTCTATCTGTTTGTCTCTCTCTCGTTCTCTCTTGTTTCAGTGCCCCTCCCGTTCGCAGGCTGTTGTGTTGTGTCTGCCAGGCCTTCTCGGCTGGAGCACAGGTTTCCTGAGTACTGGAACGGAACAGGAGCTGGCAGGGAGATACACTGAGAAACGCCAGCTCGACTGTTCCCACTGAGTGTCACACACGCTCACACTGCTGTTCATAGCGATGCAACACAGGCAGGACACAGCACACGCTATGATGTATGTAATGATGAGGCATGCCATGGGTAATCCCACCTGGATTCAGTTTATTCTGTCGATGCAGTGGAGTAACCTAACCTGACCACAGTCTCATATGTATTATATCACATCTTATAAAGCATATAAAGAAGGTCCAGGTTGTTTTAATCTTCTTGAACAGAGTCTAATTCAAAAATAGTATTATTTGTTTTTATTGTACAGATTTTTAAAATCTATTTGAATTGCTGCCTTTTAATTTACCACTATTTGTATATATATGCATATATGTATATACAGTTCAATAGGTTATTATAGGATGGATAATTCATGGATAAAGTTATTTATCAAGCAAAAATAGGCCAAACATTTATTTGTTCAAATGTTGGGATCTTCTGCTTTTCTTGAATATCTTTGGATTTGGGATTTCTGTGAACGTGAAAATGGGCATTTTTATTATTTTCTGAGATTTTACAGACTAAACAATTTAAAACTTAATAACTAATGGTCATCATATTAATTGAAGATCCTTGTGCTGCAGTTGCATGTTAAGAACATGCAATAAACATGGATGGGCAGACATTTAGGCCATAGCATGATGGCTGTTTTATACAGCCTCAAAGCCATTCGCAAGATGAAGGATCCTCGAACAACATTGCAAACTTGGAAGGATAATTGTTGATTTCAGGACTTTAAAATGTATGCTTTCAGCAAACAGACATAAACGCTGACTTCCAGGCTTGCGTATAACAGTCTCCATAAACAGAAGAAACAGGCTCTACCCATCTGGCAGGCGCGCAGACCGTCACTTACACTATTAACACTGGTGCAGACAAACATAAACACCACCGTCCTAAGAATAACTCTCCATTTTCCCCCCGAAGAATGATGTTTATTTCTCAGTGGCTCTTTAGTGTGTCCCTCTCCCCAGCTAACTGAATGATGTTTACATCTCCCACTCCTCCTAATTTCACTCTTGAGAGGCAGTGCCCTCTGCACCTGGACAGTTCACCACCCTGAATGAACAGACTGCCCCAGAGCACCTAAAGAGACACTGAGATCAAACACCAGCCTTTCTCCCAACGGCCCCTAATGAAATTGTTGTTGGATTCCTAACATTTATATTTATGGATAGCTTTTAGCTTGGGCTAATGGTAATCTAATTTTCAAAATGGCTTTTCTAAATTAAAAGGGTGACACAGAGAAACAGTTAGAGGTCTAATGTGTTTTAAAAGCCTGACTGGGGGGCTCATTAAAGACTCCGTTGAAACAAATTGTTTTCTCTCTCTCAGCTGACAGGGTATTGGTGTTGTTAATACATCAGAAAACAGTCTAGGGCAGTCTTTTAATGAAAATCACAGCCAGCTACAACATTGAGATTTATCGAGAACTGAGAAGAACATGTAGTAATTAATCTTTCTGACCACTGTCTCACCACTCCTCTCTTATAAACGGGTCGATGACACAAACAAGGAAATATAGAATGAAATCTCAGTGTCCTTTGCATCAAGGATGTATTGATGAAAAAATACAATATGTAAGAAAATAATAGTAATGCTAATTAATGAATAAACGTAAAAAAAAAAAAAAAGATTTACATACAAAAATAAATATATAAAACAAGTGACAAAAGTTATGTTCTCTTAATTTTCAAGTGATCTTGATTATATTTTTCTTTTGAATAAAGACATTTGCAAACATTATGAAATTACAACAAAAACTGACTCATAATAATAAAGCTGATTTGCAGGAATCTCTTTAGTAACGTAGCAGTAACTACGTTTCCCATAAGGCGTTGCGGTTTGCCACGTCATATATCCGCGCAGAGCTGAGGTGGCGTTTGAGAGGTAAACACGTCGGATTAGTACTTTCTTTAAACGGATTATTGAAAATAATCAAACGAACCAGTGATTTAATGTAAACCATTGATTTTGTGCGGTTGTTCTGTCCCCTCCGACTACCCTGGTTTCTGTTCCTCTTGTGTTGTAAGCTAGAGAGACAACACGGTGCTACTTTGGTGTGCTAAAGCTAAAGCTAAAGCTAATTGAATGAATAAGGTGAGCCTGTTAACCGGTCGCTTCTCTTTCAGGTTGTTTTCCCGGCTGCTCTCATCATGACTAAGCTCCTGGAGTGGCTGTTCGGAGGCTCGGTGGTGGCCGCCGTCTGGGCTCTGGTCACTTTCGACCTGTTGGACTTGAGCCTGCCGCAGACGTACAGAGAGGTTGCCTGGCCGATGCCTCTGTATCTGCTGGTCTCATTTGGCTGCTACTCCCTGGCCACGGTGGGATACCGGGTGGCCACCTTCAATGACTGCGATGAGGCGGCGAAAGAGCTGCAGGAGCAGATAAAAGAAGCCAAAGAGGACTTGAGGAAAAAGGGCTTAAAGATGTAGTACCTGAGAAGGACTATGTACGACCTTTTTGGGAGACCGAAAAGGCGATGCACGGACCACTTTCACACACAACCAAGTGTCTGCTCCTGTAATGTTTGAGTTGTATCTCTTGTTTAGAATGTGGAAATGTTGTTGGATGAGACTGAACTGTTTCCAGCAGACATGATCTGAACATCAGTCATAATAACCCTCAAATCCAGCTGTGTTTTGGTACAGTGTCTTAGTGAGTCAGATTAGATATTAATCAGAAATGCTTCAGGGAATTGGTAATGAATGGCCTATATGTATGATTCATGAATGACAACAGAGCAGTTTGTATTCTCCCCATGTAAAGACCTCTTTTATAAAGTAACTGACTAATACTCAATAATCAGTGTCTGTTCAAATCCGTTTGTAGCAGGTGGTTTATAATGATTGATGCACTATAAACCAGATGAAAGAAGAACACACAAATGGCACCGTCTTTGGTTGCAAACACACAGTTAAACACCACTGAGAGTCGCTGGTTTGCTAAATGATCATCTGTAACCATTTTCCGATCACTTGAAATGCCAACCAAATGAAACCCCAAAGGTCACACTGGAACAATCTGACTTACAGACTGTTTCCACTGAGAATTCTCAGATGCTTTCAATCTGCGTCAGCTCCAAAATAGTACAACACAGTGTGGATGTTTGTGTGTGTGTTTGTCAGGAGATTGCTGCTTGTCAGTACGGATGGACTAGATTTTATCTGTAAAGAAGTGTACATTCCATTGTCCAATTTCAGACTTGTGCCCTACGGCTATTGCTGGGACTTAATTAAATTGGAGTCTATTTTTTGTCAGTTTTTCTGCCTACAAATGTGTGTGTGTGTTTGTGGGTTGGGGGTTCGTATAGGGCCAAGAGGTATGCGAGTATGTGCATGAGGGCTCGCATATATGATGCATTCCTTCTCCAAGCATAACCCACATCGCCTCAGGGCTTTATATCAACTTCTCAATGCCTCGCTCTGTGCAAGAGACAGATCTCTTTTGTCCGATTTCGTAGTTAACGACATGGAATACACATAAATATACAGCATTTTTCTTTTCTTCCCTCACAGAGGTTTGTTCCAATCAAAAAATGTAAGCGAAGTATGTAGTTCTGAAGTAATCTGATGTTGGCAAGTGCAGTTCTTTTTGTGTGAGCCTTAAAAGGCTGCCTGTGCTCATTTTCAGTGAGTCCCTGCTGTGCATAAACAAAGCATAGCCTGGCCAAAGGCATCATTATAGGGTTTCAAAAGCTCCCATAACTTCAGAACAAATGCAAAAGAGTCGACAGTTCTGTGTGTTAGCTCTGCCTGTTGTGCTGGTTGGCTGCAGCCCCATCATGCCTTGCAACGTCACCCCCCCATGAATGTCTGCAAGCTGTTGCAAGAGCAGACTGGATGAAAGGCAACCTGTTATTTACCAGAATATTTTCTACTTTGGCAATTACACCAAAGGCTTCCCTTGGTAAGCAGCTATGTTCTCACTCGTAGCCACATGTGAACTAGTTAATCACTTTCTTTTTTTTTATTATCATTCTTCCTAAATCTAACTTTGAAGACGTCCATCTGTTCATTCTTTTTCTGCAGGCGATCAGACAAAAGTATAAATCGTAATAGGCCAAACATTTTACAGGCCATATACAGTGTAAGCATGTTAGTTAATCTCTTATTTCAAACATACAGTACTTAAGCTTCATCCCAGACTTATCCCTTAGCATTTACAGGATAGCAAGTTTAAGTAAGTGTAATCTGATGCACAGACAGAGATGTAACAAAAGCTGTCCAATCCAAAACAAGCTCAAATACTCAGGCTTTTTAAATTTTTTTTATCTTAATGCATTTTATTTGCAGCAAATGTGGCCACGACCAGCGACACCACTGCTGTTTGGTGTGTGGCAGTACTCACCAGAGAGGATCCACCTGATAGAGTGTAGTAATTTGAAGCACGGAGAAAATTTTTTATAAATTATTACCTAGTAATTAAGTATCTCCACCTGTCAGTCTGAACCCAGCTTTAGTTGTAAGAACTTTTATTTGTATCAGGCCTAAGTATTCTGGCAATGATGAGCTTTCATATACAGCTGGGAGAATTAAACCTTTACAAGCTGCCCTAAACTTGACCTGAAATAATCCAAAACCAAAGTTGAGAATCAGTTGTGTTTCACATTGGAGATATGATGCCAGTTTGGGATGAATTATCTAAATTATTCATTCTTGTATCACTTGTTCATGTGTGATCTACAATCTCTGAGTGGTGTTACATGGGTAAATGAGAACTTCAACAACCTCTTGCTTTGTTCTGTGCTACGAGCACATTTTTCATAATTGCTCTGTCTCCGTTAAGGGCAGGATTTTGACAGTGAGGGAGGCTGAAAAAGATGACAAATCGGTACAGAATGTTCTTTACCTTCTGCTCCAAAGTGGCAAGGTGATAGACGTCAGATAAATTGGTAGAGGAGCTGAGAAGGAAACCGTAATGGGGATAGAGACAGTGAGAGGGGCAGGCCACGGGGTTGTGCCCGCAGCATGGCCCCACTGAGACCTTGAGACACTATAAAAAACCATTTCTAGAGACACTCAGTAACACTGCTGGGAGCAAATCCATCTCGACAGGCTGAGAACCAAGACTGAAAAATGATAGGCTATCATTTTTCTGCACAGAAAATACTTTTTTTTCCCACCCACACATTTCACAGCAAAACCTCAAAACCATCTAGAGACGGACAGAAAGAGAGATGGAGTTGGTAATCGAGGCCCAGAGCTTAAGGAGATGGAGATTTGTTACAGATACAGAACAACATTATAATGACAGGGTGAGAGAGTGACATGAGGACGAATCAAAACAGGAGATAGATACAGACAGAGTGAATGAAATAAAGGGGCTGAACAAAAGAAGTGTTGAAATGGGAATGCATAACAAAAAAAGGGAAAGTGACTAAGTGACACAGACAGGAAACCAAAGCATGAGCTGGAAGAAGACAGACGACCCTGGCAGCGGCGACGGATGGCTGAGAGTGTGTGACAGGACTTTTTCGGGAAGTGGAGACCACACCCCGACCGCCGGCGGTGGCAGGGGACCAAAATGTACTCTGATTGGCCCAGAGGCTCCGACTTATTCTGTACAACCAAGGTGTTTCCTTCCCATCAGCCCTGTCTGACCATGCTGTCATCTAAAGCTTTTGCTGGCACTAAAGCAGGACTCAAACAAAAGAGGGAATAAAGGAGCTTCCAAATATGCCACTACATTAAGACGGCATTTAATCCGAACATGCAGAGCATCATCGCGGCATAAAAATTATGTGATTGAGGCTAAAAAGTCACTCATGGGTCAACCTATTGTTCTTTCGCTGCTTATAAACAGCTGCTTTGATATTTACAGGACACCGGGTTCCCATTCTAGGGCAGCATGGAAGCTTATAAATGCTACAAATAGCTACAATAACATTAGGTAACCTCCCAGAGGCCCTGTAAGGCAGATACTCCTGGCTCTTCTGAGCAGTAACATACGCTAGAAGGCAGACAGGGACTGGTCGTCATGTGTCCCGCTGATAGCAAGGCCTGACTCAGTCCGGAGATGCAGAGATAGACCAGCTGGCCATGCCAAACCTACTCTGAAATGTGATTTTTTTTCTTGCTGTGTCTCATGGCCCCCTCACAGTTTTTAGTGTCACACACTGTTGGCTCATCTCTCGCTCTGTTAAACCCTGATGACTGATAAATTGATAAATGGCTTGTTTTTCTGCTTGTCGGGAAATGTTTGATTTAATATAGCCCCAGTTTGTGCCTCTCGTGTATTGCCATTATATTTGAGTCACAGAGCTAAGGAAGTACTGGTTATTATTCATCCTGCTGGGACATTAATGTGAACCAAATTTCATGCCAATCTATCCAATTGTTGAGAAATTTCACCCAAAACCAAAGATTTCAACCTTGTGGTTGTGGGAGAGGAATATTCAAGGGATCACCAGAATAAATAGGATTCATCCTCTGGGGAAGAGGAATGTCTGGCCAAAATGCGGTGCCAGTCTATCTAGTAGATGTCGAGATATTTCATGGGATATGTGAACATTTTTACCTGCTGGAGGCGCTATGAAAGACCAAAGTGGTGGACTGACTGACCGACATTGACATCCCTATGGCTAGCATGGCTTAAAACCCCACAGGTTCATTTAACGTTTACCACAGTCCTAAAGGTTGTTCTAAAACCCCTAAAGACTGAATAAATCTGAATAATAATCTGCTTCATGGTAAATTATATGTATTTGTTTCATGTTTGAATAAATTGAAGGACTAGTGTGTAGGATTTGGAATCTAGTGGTTTTAAGTTTTATATTGCAACTAACACCACTCACATCTGTAGAGTGTGTAGGAGAAACTACGGTGGCCACAAAACTTGCCAAAAATGCAAAAAGCCCTATCTACAGCCAATGTTTGGTTTGTCCATTCTGGGGTACTGTAGAAATGAAAGAAATTCTAAGGTAACAAAAACACAAGAATTCCTATATTCAGGTGATTATACGCCAATAAAAACATACCTATGAACATTATATTCCATCTCTGTCTCCTAAAAATTACACACTGGACCTGTAAATCCAAACAAATGTAGCTGGAGATGACATACTGTATGCCCCTGCTCAAAATTGTACGATGTGAAATAGTCACAGCTATAATTATTTATATTAATATTATACTGTATTATTTCATATTTTTTTATAAAAATAATGTATTTATTTTTCTTGTGTTGTATAAAGGAAGGAGAAAGCAAGGAGATATGTCATTTCTGTCTACAATATGGTGGACCAACTTAGGTAAAGATCTTTTTTGCATTGACGTAAGATTTCTTTCATCTAAAAGAGTCATTGAGGATTTTGGCCTTCAGAACAGCTGTAGATGATGTAAAACAATCCTCTAGCATTTCAAAAGATTAGCCAGTTATTTGTTTTTTTTTTGCAAAACTGCATGCGTAGCTCTCAGTATTCAGAGATTTTACAGTCATGCTGTCCTTGATACTTCTTGAGAGCGTCTGCAGCCTGAACATTGCCCTCTGGATGTTCTTATTCTCTGTGCTCCATGTTTGTTCCGGTTATCTCCTGGTACCCTAAATGTTTACTACTGCGTTAAAGGTTTCACACTTGCTGTTCACATTTACTCAAGCTGGTACGCCGAACGAGTGAGTAAATAAAAAGAATTGTCTCGCCTTGACGAGCTCCTACTCAGTGGAGCCTCTTCTAGGGGTCAGTCGGTTAAGGGGGCCTGTCCTCCAGCCCTAATTTATGGCCATCCCTTTGAAAACATTGGGGAGTTGTGAGGCAGTGGCACCAGTTTTTGGTGCTACAGCTGTTTTTACTGTCACGGCCGTAAAGCTCCCCTGAGAAGGGAGAGACAAGAAAAGGAGAGATCAGAACAATGGCTTGTCATGCAACTTGCAGATGAGCAAAGTATCATGGTTGGAGAAAAGAGTGTGTGTTTATGTTGGGAGGGGTGGGTGTCGTTGCTCAGGGTGGAGATTTGCCAGAAGTTTGAGATATAGACAGTACCTGTGTATTCAGTCTTCATGCCAAAAGGCGACCGTAATGGTAATAATAAACACAGCTCTCTCCTCCCTTTTCCTTTATCTCTCCATTGTAGCTTTTCCCCATCTCTGGCCATATTGGCCTTGATTCTATTCAACTCCTGTCACATTAGTGTGTGTGACTCATTATCTGTGCTATTGGGTCCTTCTGTGCAGATCTCCCCGGTTTAATCAAAAGGAGAAATGGGCTGGGTTTCCTGGCAGCCTTTTAACACCAAAATCATCTTACTTACAAGCAAAATGTCATTTAGGATGATGCTAGGAACGTTCTTTCTTCTTTTTTAGGATAATAATTGAACCTTTACTCCAAACCATGAGTAGACAAGAGTAAAATAACAGTATACCAACATACTTACAATGACAATGTTAGTTAATGAGATTTAGAAGGTATAATGTTTACCATGTTCCACATCTTAAGTTTAGTGTGTGATACGATTTGCTAATTAGTCCTAAACACAAAGTACAGCTGGGGCTGATGGGAATGTCATTAGTGTATGTATTTGGTCATAAACCATATCATTAGACTTGATGATAGCACCGGATGAAAAGTTAAGGGATCACCCAGTTATTATAGTTCATCCTAAGGGGGGACATGAATGTCAAATTTAATGGCAATCCATACAATGATTGTTGAGGCATTTCACTCAAAACCACACAGTGGCACTAGAGGAAAATGACCACTAAAGTCATTAGGATTAATCCTCTGGCAACCATAAACGTCTGTACAACATTTTGTGCCAATCCATTCATTAGTTGTTGAAATATTTCAGTCTGGACCAACCAAGCGACAAAACAGACAAACCAACACTGCCATTTCTAGAGTCACACCAGCCATAACTTGGTCTAAAACAATCACAAGAAAACTGTTCTGGTTTTCCAAAAATATCTTTTATTTCACATGAAATTTTCACATTTAGCATATTTATCAAACAGGTCTTTTATATAATCTTCTATGTATATATATATATACATATTATACACTTCTCTTACTTACACATGTACAAAATTAAGTAACAAGAATTCAGATAAAAAAGACTGACTTCAATGGTAGTCATACACCGTTGTGCTTTGTCGATCAAGCCAGCCTGTCAGGTGAAGATGTGCTTGGCAACTCGGTTTGATGCCGTGTCTTGTCTGTTGTGATTGTGAACTGGTGACTAACATTTTCAAATGATCCAAAACTGTGATAATTATTCTGAAAGTCTAAATAGCTGATTACTTCACATGAAGGAAAGCACCATGATGCACAGGGTTGGGTCCTGTAGTAATAAAGATCTGATACCAGCTCTTCATGTCAGACAGTTTAACCAATACAGGGGCAAGATCCAACAAACAGAGAAATCCAGCCTCTCTGTGATACACACAACATCTCAGTGTTTGCTTTTGGCAGAAAAACATTTTGTCTCATCACTATTTCAATCAATCGCTCCCTTGGTTGCGCACATTTTCTTACTCTCACTTCAACTCACACATTTTCGCTTTCACACAAGTACTAACTCTACCAGGACAGAGAGAAAAAAGCTCTCCCCATTACCAACAGTAAACATTTGTTTTCGTGAGCACATGGTATATACAGTAAAACTTCTCAGCTGCAAATGTTATAAATTATCTTCACAGAATGTACACCTAACACAGTTCAATGTAGTGTTTTAATGTGTTACTGTATGTCAGTGTGTGTGAGACAGTGTGTAACACCGTTGTGTAGTGTGTGTTTGTACTGTGCAGTATTTAGTGCTACAGTGTATAAGCACATGGTCGCGTTTGCAAAGGAATGGTAGTCATGAGAACATCCCCTGTGTCTGTCAATGCTACATTTAGAGAAAGTAATCACTTGGGACATCAATGCCACTCAATACCATTACAATAACAATACAACAGATAGTACACAATACTCAAGGGTGGAATAGTGTACAAGTTGGAGAGATGACTGATCTTTGGCTCAAAAGGTAAGAGATTACTTTATCATTGGATGTGGATTTATTCCAGCTAAACGTATATCTTAGAATTCAAACAGAGTTGGCGTCTTTGCTCTTGATTGTTCTTCTGCCATTTTAGGTTCCTCTTCAACTTCTTCATATTTTCTTCTCGGGTTATCTTCCAAAGAAGTTCATGTCTTTTTTGGAGAGAGCCCTAAAAAATACAAATCAAGAAGAGCTTGGTCTTTCCAAGAAAAAAAATACTGTCACCTTTTGAAAAATAAGACAAAGCAAATATTCTTTGTCTCAAATGCTCAGAGTTACTCAGCACATGTAGTGCAAGTGAGTCCATCTGTACTTTACAAGCTTCAAAAGTCTCTCCCTGTGGCCTGCACTGGGCATGGAAAACTGTCTTTTTGAGTCAGTGGTTTCATCCCCACGGACTGTCTTCATTGTAGTCCCTGAAAAAAAAAAAAATTCTGCCAACAGCAGTCCTTTCATGTACTCTCAGTGCAACAATAGCAGTAATGAAAATGGGACTAGCAATGAAAGGATTGAAAGGGATGTAGCTGCCACTGCAGAGTTTGTCCGTACACTCTTCTGGACGTCTGGCAGGATTACCACTGGGTCATCTGCTTGAAGATGAGAGATAAAGAAGACACATTAATACCGCATATTTGCACCCCAATGTAATCCTGAATGTACCTGAATTGTTTTAAGGTCAGGGATAATTATAAAGGACACAGGGTTGGTCAACATACCTGCAGGCAGTCTGTTGGATGGGTTGTGAACCCCACCCCCAGCTCCAACTACAGCCCCACCTGTGTCTCCTTTAGCCACTCTGGCCTCTTGAGAGCCTGAAAGAAAAGCAAAATGCCATCAATTACTCTGCTTTGTTCTTGCAATAGTCTAACACAACTATCAGAGGTCATCGTGCTGCTCTCCTTACAGCCAGGAGGGGTTTAACTCACCATCAGCAGCTACAACGTCCACCCTGAGCTTGAGGCACTCCTGTCCATGGTGGTGCAAAGGTTTGGCTGTTGAGAAGAGGGAAGAAACAACACAGGCGTTAACATCCCCACTAATGCACTTATCCTCCACTGGCCCCTTAATTCACCTTCATGCACGCGCGCGCACACACACACACACACACACACACACTTGGCAACAGACAGACAAACAGACAGACACAGGGACAAAGCTTTAGGACACCATCTGTGACCAGGCGAAGTGTGTCTTGTCCTGCCGTTTATCTAATTACAGCCATGGCCAGGGTGACAACACTGCTGCTCTTTGTGGTTACATTCTAGCAGGATAAGTATTGCACAGACTTGGCAAACTGAGCAGACACCCCAGTAAATGTCCATTTCAGGCTTCAAAGAGCTGGCCACCAAGCTCTAGGACATCACGATTAGTAGAATTTTTTTTTTTGCAAAACTGCAGAACTTTACTCTAGCCTCACTTCTGTATGATGGTAGAGATTTTTAGCCATGCTAGCAGTTGGGGGCTCTGGGGATGGCAATAATCAGTTGGCCGAGACTGAAATATCTCAAAAGGTCTTTGATGGATTACCATGACATTTTAAACAGACATTCCTGGTTCCAGATGATGAATCCTAATGTCTTTGATGATTCCCTGGCTCTTCCTCTAGCACAAAGATGAAGTTGACATTTGTGGATTTGAGTGAATTATCAGTTATTGGATGGGTTGTCATGAAATCTGCTACAGACATTATTGTCCTCCTCCAACATAAAATTTAATAATTATGGTGATTGCTTAACTTTTTAAATTTGAGCATACTGATTGATTACAAAATACCTGCAAAACTACTGCTAGTTATAAAAAGTTAGCATTTAGCTCAAAGCACTGCTGTGTACAACCTCACAGCGTGGCTGTAGACTCTTAAGTGAAAATATCTGAATATAAGCTAATTGGCAAACAGAGCAACAAATCAGACAAAATTGTAGTGATACTTACAGATATAATAGTAGCTTTCTCCTTGGCGGAACTCCTTTCCCAGAGTAAATGGAGTAAAACGCTGGAACTTTTCTGAGAACTTCTCAGGGGCATGAGGAGCAAAGGGATGGCCACACTCCCAGCGCATCTGATCGTAAGATTGGGGCTTGCAGGATTCATAGTCCTCTTGCTCCACCATGTAGAGCACGTATCGTTCAGCATCCAGCAATGGCACCTCACCCTGAGGGTAATGGGGGCAGACGATGTCCAGATAGTCATTGAGCTTCACCTCCACAGCGTAGTCATCCCATAGAAACCTGCGGGGAAGAGGCAGGAGGACAGTTATGCAAGTGGCAGGAGACTGATAACCGTGGTTATAGCATCGGAACGGTAATAAATATAAGCCTCAAAACCTGTGATTATATATTGATCGGCTACATGCCAGTGTACAACAGGGAAATCAGAGGAAAGACTGAGAGGCCTGGGAATGAGAGATCGAGAGCAGGAGAAGGAGAGAGGGTTTGTGAGTGAGGATATGTGTGTGTGTTGGAGGGAAATGAGGAGGGAAAACGCAATAAGGGGAAGAGTGATCTGCAGAGGACATGCGCATAAATATGGATGAACGTGAGGCGAGTGTAGCTGCTGCTGCTTGCTGCTGTGTTGCGAGTTAGCACTGAGTTACATTGATCCCATGTCCCCCAGGAGTTGAATGATGTTTACAGAGAAACATTAGCAGTCAGTTAGCCCGTCAAAACAGAAGATGAGTATCGACATCTGCACGGCTAGACACACACACACACACACACACACACACACACACACACACACACACACACAGAATTTGTGATGACAAATTCACCTTAACAGAAGCAGAAACACCTTGAGTTTCCTCAAGAAAAGGGACATGGATAAAAATAAAGGTCACATATGTTTTAACCCATTCATTAGGGTCAGTGAGACAGGCAGACGTATACAACATGAGTCTGGTGACGGTCTGTAACTGTCTCCCACCACACTCCCTCTCATTACAAATAAAGAGAGACAGTCAGACTGTCTGCCTCCCCCTCCATTCCTCCCTGCATCCCTCCCTTCACTCCTCCACCCTCTCCGCCCTCTTTACGATGGTCTTTAAGTAAACTAAATGTCATCCCACTCCTCTTGGACCTGGGTCAGAGAGCACTGGCAGAAAACTTTTTAGCATTTAAGCCTGCTTCAAATGTAAACACAATTGAATTATTCTAGAGACTTTAGACTAGATAAATAACAATTTAGCACACTCGGAGGCAGTTTAAATTGGCCTTATCTCAACTCTCCACCCCCTCCTGGATTTTCTTTCAGAGATATTATGAGTTTATCTCCAGAGAATTGTCACTAAAAGGTATTTCAGCTTTGTCCCCTTCCCCCTGACTGAGTGACTGCTCCAGGGGCGGCTCACAGCTAATGCTCTCTTCTCAGCCAAAGCCATCTATCACCGGCCTGGAGCGGTAGCCGGCCGCTAGCAACACACACTAACTCACACACTTCCCAGTAATTCTCATCTATCAACAACCTAAGGCAGTAGCTACCTACCGTTTGCACCCACCAATCCCCCACCCACACACACATACACACACCTCCTCCCGCGGTACTGAGCTCCCAAGCGATGCCTATCAGTTTACCGTCTCCTACTGTTCTGGATCACCATGGGTTCGCTGGAAGACTGAAATTTGACAGAATTAAATGTTTTCACAACACACAAGGAGAATGTGTGTCTAATATAGGGTTTTGTTGCTTTTGCAATGAATACATGGATGGTTCATCAGGCTTTCAAACCCCACCAAAAAAGAGTGCGAGTTAAGTTACTTACTGCTATTTAATCTACAAATCTTACGGGTTCTCAGAAGCCTACAGGGTGCTAACTGGATCTTAAGCAAAGAAAAAACTCCCCACAGAAGGTATTTCTTCCCCTAAAGTTGATTTTCTTTGAAAATTCTTTTTTCTCATAAAACCCCCTAAATCTAACAAGTAGCATTTGGGGGGTTTGTGTTTGTGTGACAAGGTCCATATGTGTGACTAACGATCAAAGTGCACAGGCACAGGCTCCCGTCGCTCATTAGCTGGTGTTGTTGTTTGTGGCCAGGGGTCTCCCTGGTACCCCATGGTAAAAGGACAGACGCTGTGGCTCCAAACACTGGGCCCTGACTTCTGCTCCCCCCTCTGGCTCCCTCCCCCCTTCTCTTTCCCCCTCTCCGCCTGACTGCATTCCCTCAATACTGATGACCAGATTAGCTGGCAACACCATTACAACAGCAACACTGGCCTGTTAGAAAACAAGTACCTTTTTAGTATACTGATGAAACTTCCATCTAACTGTGCCGATAATAGTGTGCTCAAGCCAACTTTTGGGGGGGTGGGGGGCAATAATTATCATTTTGCCATGGTCCAGACAGCTTTGTGCTTATCTGCAGTTTGCCTGCCACGCTCTGTTTACCAGATTGGCGCTAAAGTGTTTTTTCCCCCTGCCACTTTCAATTCCAGTCGAATCGATAACACTATTGAACAAACACTGTTGTCTGCTTTTGCCTGACAGAGTTATTATCCCCCTGCAAACACTGGAAACACACACAAACAAACTCCCTACGACCCAGTCCCTTCTTCACTCCCAGCCCCGATTACAAACTGGTTGTGCTATGTTCCCAATGTGTTCATCAAAAGGGGGTCGAAGGGGGTGCAATTAAAGCACAAAAAAGGGTATTAAAGTTGCCCCGGAGGGGGGTAATTATGCCCTCTTGCTCCCCACTTCCCAGCCTCCTTAGGCTAAGAGTTTGGGGGGAGACAGAGGGCATGAATAGGCGTAGGCAGGGGGGGTCAAAGGGCTTGAGTTGGAAATGGCTTTTGAAGTTTCTCTCAGTATGAATATCTATGCGAGTGCTACAGTTGCTTCATCAACGCCACTGTTTCATACAGTGTCTCTATTCACAATGTGCCCACGCTGATGGAATACCTCACTTAGCAGAGAGAACAGTGGCTGAATACGCACCCGGGAGGCTGGCTAGCCCCTTTTATTAATGGCAAATACTTTTAATTATCCTGCTGCCTTTTGTTCCCCTCTAACGCCTCGGCATTGAAACGTTCCACATCATCAGCTTAATTAACTGATTGCAGCAACACACATCAAAGAGAGCTTAGGCCTCTGTGTGAAAAGGTTTAGCTAACAAAGTCAAATCATGCCACCTTCACTTTAGCAGACAAAATCCTCTTTCTTTTTGTCTCCCCAGTGTGTGTCCCTTGTTATTTTGCTCTTGCAGACTGTTTCCCTCTCCCTGTCAATAGGCTGTCTTGATTTATTCCCATTGTTTATCCCAGGATTCTCTGTTTTAATGACAGTGATACTTGGAGCTTCACTAGAAACAACAGCATTGAGGAGTTGTTGTATTCTCTACTTAAGGATGATTTATGGAGCTATGGCAGATATGCAGCGAGGACTGTGTGCATGTGTGTCAGACATTTAAATGTGTGATTGTTGTGTGTTACGTTTGTAGATCTCTGAGCAGTCTGGGAGTGCGTTACAATTGTGATATGGTGGACCAAAGAAATACCAATAATGAACACCAATAATAGCAGTGAGAGAATGTCAAGTGGTCAAGTGTGTATGCAAGCGCTCAATCTGGTGAAAAATAGACTACAGACTGTTCCCGGCCTCTCTTCCTCCTCTCCCAAGAAGGAATTCCTGATTTATTGGAGCCTCTTCAGGAGCAGGAGTCTAATCTCTCTTCTTTAATCTCTCTGGCCAGCGTTTTGCCTTCTTCTCCACCTCTACCCCTTCCTTTCATCCATCCATCACCCTCTCATCTCTGCACTCTATCGCCCTGTGGAATGCTGGACCTCTGAGGCGAAGGGGCCGCAATGTGGATCAAAGGTCGGACAATCGCCAAGTCAGCACCGGAGAGTTTTATACCCTAACAGTCAGCAAGAGGGAGCCTTGTGTGCTTTAAATACGATATACTAGTGCTATGACCGGAATCACTCTTTGAGGATCGATTCAGACCTATTTTTAAAAGGTCCATAAAGGCCACCGTAGGACAAACTACACATTTATGAGCACTACATATAACAGGAGCTCTAGACCTACTTAACCTGTGCTGTCTCTAAGAGGCCCCTGCACAGCCACCGTAACCACATGAACATGATTATTTTCCTCTCCGGTTTTACACACGGCATTAATGTGACCCAAAAGGTGGCTGGCCTGCGTCACAGATGAGTGAACCGGAATGTGTGGACCACCTAATCAGCTAGTCCAAGCCTGGATTATTGGGTGGAGTAGAGGCTGAGCTCGGGTCCATTCATCAGCACCAGACCCTGCTTAATACAGGGGCTTAGAGTGGACAGCGAGGCCCAGAGCAGGGGCTGAGGGCTGGGGGCAGAGTAAGGCAGGGTGGAGCTTTCCCCCCCCATCCCTATTGTTCTCACACAGAGAAGGGATATTACTCCTTTACACTGGTGTTTTGGAGATCAAAAAGAGACACACTGACTGCGCATGTATGTGTGTGCGCAAGTGTGTCCATGGTTGCAGAGGGGAAAGTGAGAGGTGTTAACAGAATAATGAAAGACAGTGGACACAAGGGAGCTATTTTCTTTCAAGATACATCTGTGAAAGCTACGTGACTCCATGAGGGAGGTGGCACAGCAGAGAGAGGTGAAGCCTTTCTGAGATGCATCATGAGTTTAGTTAAGCTTGACTGTTTATCGTTTTTTCCCCTCTTTCTGTTTCATTTCGTCTATCTATTCATCCATCAATGTCAGCCGTTCCCTCCCACTCTCTGTCCGTCTTTCATCACTCAATAAGCAAACCAGATCCTCGTGTCAACTTTGTCCCTCCCCCCACACCAGACTTGCTGAACCAATCACAACCTGTCCTGGTGGTATTCCAAGTATGCAACTTTTTGACCCACCGGGCCATGCACAATATGGCGTGGGTATGCTTGGGTCACCATAGAAACAAATATGGTCCAGCTCTTTTGGCCCCCCTTTTAACATAATATTCCAGTCTTCATTCTTTGCACCGGGTGACTTTTTGTCATCCATCTCAATCAGCTTTCTCCGCTCTGTCATTCAACCTTTGTCTGTCCAGATCATTGGTCATTCTGCCAGCGTTCCTGGCTGAACTAGTCAAGCTCCTTTTGCCACCCAGCAAAGCGACAGAGCTTTAAGTCCAGCAGAGAAATAATTGGCTGATTCCACTGCACTAAGGAGGCTTAGATGAATACATATGCTCTTTCCAACTGTCTCACGCTGTCCTCTGAGCCATTTGTATCTTGTAAGGGCCAGCACAGAAAGG